TATTGGTGGGAATGTGGAGGTAGTGGAACTCTTGGGCACTGCTGGTGGGAGGATAAAATGATTCAGACACTATGGAAAAAATATGGAAGTATTTCAAAAAATTAAAAGTAGATCTTATGATTCCGCAACTCCACTTCTGGGTATTTATCCAAAAGAATTGAATTCAGGATCTCGAAGATATATCCCTAGTCCCATGTTCATAATAGCATTATTCATAATAATCAAGAGGTGGAAACAAGCTAACTGTCCGTCAATGGATGAATGAATAAAGAATGTGTGATGATGATAAATATTCAACAGCAATATCATACAGTGTATGAAAAGTATGATTTAAAAAGAATAAAAGAACATTATTTGGTCATAAAAAAGAAGGAAATGCTACCATGTACTACAACATGGGTGAACCTTGAGGACACTATGTTCAGTGAAATAAGCCAGCTGCAGAAGGCCAAACATTACATGATTCCACTTACATGAATTATCTAAAGTCGTCAAACCCGTGGAAGCAGAAAGTAAAATGGTGTTTACCAAGGGCTGGGGAAGGAGAAAATGAGGAGTTGTTCAATGGGTATAAAGTTTCAATCATGCAGCTAAAAATTTTCTAGAGATCTGTACAACACTGTGCTTAGAGTGTAAAATGCTGTACTGTATGCTTAAAAATTGTTAAATGGGTAGATCTCTTTTTTTAAACCACAGTTTTTAAAAAGCTTGACTGTGAAAGGAAGGAAAAATATACAGCACGGTAGGCAGAATTCTACAAATACTTCTCTCAAACCCATCCATGTTCTACACCCTACTCCCCAGAAATGAATATGATGGGCTATTATTCCCATGACTGTTGTGTTTTATGGGATAGTTGACCTGAAAAGGGAGAGATTATCTGAGTGGAATGATCTAATCACAGGAGACCTTAAACACAGAAGGCTGTCTCTGGAGGAGAGCAGAGGTCAAAGATTTAGCCCTTTCCATTTGTGTGAAGGAAAAATGCCTGGAAATTTTAGTGAGCTACAAAAAGTTATGAATGCTATTTGTAAATACAAGACACTGTGGGAAACTGCGACTTTTTTTCTTGTAAGTGCAAAAGTGTGTAGAACTGGTGGAAGAGAGATAATAGATGATGGTATTTTTTTTCCTAGTATGCTTAGTTGTTGCCTAGAAAGGCCTTGATAATTCAATGTTCAAAAAAATTACATGTCGAATGGCTGTTTGCCACCCATCTGTTGTAATAAAATAAAAGAAAAAGAATGTTCTCCCTCTGAAAGCAATTATATTCATGCTAATTAAGCATTATTAACTCATTTATATTTTGAAGCACATGAAAATTTTAGATACCAATTCATATGAAAACATATTAAAATTTCCAAGCTACTGAAATTATGTCAAGTTTAAATTCCAAAACATATATTTTTAATAGGACTTAGGAAGACCATCCTATGAGCTTCCAAACTGAATAAAGTACCTGAAATCAAATTTGATATAAAGTTATATTGAATAATAAATCAAATTCTGTATCATTTCAAATTCTAATTAATGAGAATAAAGTATAATATCAATGTTGGAATCTTTGTTAAATAAGCGTTCTCTTTAAAGTAGTAAATTTTAAATATTTCAATTGAATTCAAAATCATAACTATGTTTGAAAAGTACTTCTCAACTTCAATATATATATTCTCCCACATCTATATTGAAACTTATTAAAATAATTAAATAGTTTCTTTGATTTTAGAAAAAAATGGCAGATTCAATTAATAAAGTGAAAATTCAAGCAGCAGGTAGAGAGATTTCTGCTCTAACAAATAAAGATTATTCAATGAAATCAAACTGTGCTTTTGTAGAACTTCTGCTTTACAAAAATATAAAGATCTTAGCTGGAAGTTTTTATTATGCTATTATCAAATCATACTGCCAATTTTCCCTTTGTATATGCTTTTTCCTTTCAGTGTACATTTTTATAGAGTTCAATATTTATAAGTAAACTGGTTTTGCCTGTTTTGAAAATACCATTTCTATCATCTCCTAAAATAAAGAAAAATGTATTGATTAAAGATAAAGCTTATCAAGTAAAACTCAAAATATACATGATCAATAATAAGAATTAATTTTTCTGAGAACAGTCTTCTGAGAGTTTAATACTCCAAATAGGTTCAAAAACAACCAAAACAGTTTGAATTGTTGTTTTATAAAAAGCCCACACATTAAATTCAAGAGAAAAGACAGAACTATGAGTATCTAAATTAACACAATGCTTCCCAGTTTTAAATTATATCTAGTTAGTTATCCCTGAAATAACATCTCTAAATAGTCTATTAAAAAGGTGAGTGCATTCTAATTCACAATCACAATACAGGTAGGTATGGGGGGGTAGTACAGCACAGAGAATACAATTAATGACTCTGTAACATCTTACTATGCTGATAGACAGTGACTGCAATGGAGGGGATGAGGGCTTGATAATATGGGTGAATGTTGAACCACTGCATTGTGTATGGAAACCATCATAAGATTACATATCAATGATACTTTAATTAAAAAAGGTAAATGCACAACATAAATTTTCATTCATCAAATTTTATTGAAAACATACAGTATGGTGGACACAATAGGCCAATTCTCCTCTGAGAACACACTGCTGGCCTTCCAGAGAAAGAGAACCACAAAACAGTATGAAACATGATGAGAAAAGAGTAGGACGTAGTGTGGTAAAGTACCAGATTTGGAGTTAAAGGCAAGTTAAAAAGACACGGACACCTATAAAATATGAAAAAAGAGTACAGGAGTCAGGAACAAACTGGGTGAAGAAAATACATTTAAGTAAAGGAGAAACAGCTTGTATTTAATACATAATTTTAGAAAGGAAGGGAGGGAGGAGTGAAAAGATAGAGAAAGGAAAGGAAAGAGAAAACAAGGGAATTGTTAGAGGATTGTGTGTAATCTCTATGTACCAAGAGAAATCTGAGCTGATGATGATGTAGGCAGGGCCAGCATATGAACAGGTGAGCTAGGCATTTGCACCTGACTCCCTACTCAGAAAGGCTCCACATTGATTTAACGTCCTGCTGTCAATACCTTGAAATGTTTAATAATTTTATTTTGAAATTAAGCTTTTTAAGTCAAGTCCACTGGGACAATGGAACATTCGTGTGAACAGAAAAGATATGTGAAACATACATGCTTGTTGTAGTTTGCTCCCTGCCCCCATTTTCATGCATCATTCGTGATGACGCATGAGTACATACACAATTAAACTATATCAATAATGTTTGAAGTTCAGCAAGAGTCAAGCAGGTGCAAGTTAAGACTGTTACATCGCCCAGTCGGTAAACTGTCATGGTGACAGGGCTAAGAAGACATGCTTTCTGTCTGACCCAGAACCAGATGAAGGCAATGGCATTCTAAGGAACAAGAATAACAATACTCTATTCTACTCTTTCTTTCTTACATTACTGCCCTCTATTACCCAACCACTTATGCTGAAAATGACAGAGAAGCAAAAGGAAAGTCAGTGAAACTACAGTTCCTTCTTTCAGTCCTTCCTTACCCAGTAGTAAGCCAAACGTAGACAGTGTTGGTAGGATGTGTTATCAAAAATGAAATAAACACTATTAACCTTTGTGCAATAGTTGTGCCATTTTGTAAGGAAAAAATGCATATACATGTTCAAGCTACGAAACACAAATTGTGTAAATTGGTGATCCTGCATATGCATTGAAAGTACTTGGATATTTGAATTCAAAATTGGCATTGCACAGTATAAACATGAATGCCCATTAAAATTGTGCACTAGGTCAATTGATAGAGAAGGAATGAGTATCTGTCCATTGAGCTAGAGGGAAGGAATCATTATGTAGCCAAAATACAGCAAGTATCTTGAATAGTATATGAAAAAAAAATATATATATATACAAAAATAGTAAATGTCTAAGTAGAGAACTGACACTTAAAATTGATATTTTAAAGTATATAATAAATAATATTTTCTAAAATGATAGAAGACTTTGAAAAAGAGACAAAGTAATTTTCCTCCAGCCCATATGTTCCTCTCATTCCTCTCAGAGGAAAAACAAACAACAGACAAACTTTAAACTTCCCTGATAATGCCTAATTAATCTTTCAAAGAGATGAGAAAATACATTTAAATTCTATTTTCTCTTAATTTTTTTCCCACCAAATAACGTAAGGAAAGAAGTCAAATAGGGGGCAAGCTATGTAAAAAGCATTTAGAAGGCACTAAATAAATGAGATTTTAAAGAATTTCATCTACTTAATATACTTTCATTTTTTATGAAATGAAGAAACAGATACCATTCACTTCACCTGCTTTATATCATCAACAAGGGGCATCAGCTGAATTCCTGGAAGTCAACCGATTTCCATATGATGACTAAAAGAGTCACAGATGGTGGAGCATGCCCTTCAAAGCTGACTTACTGATCCTATTTAGTAAACTGGAAACACAAAGGAATCATGTAGAAGAGTACAAGGATAGCACAGGAAAACAGAACACATTAGAGAGGTGATTATAGCCATCTGAACACTGAGACAAAATATGTATACAATAGACATAGAGCCTATGTAACTATTCTTGGTTAAAGCCAAACTCTAGTAAATATGTAATTACTATTAATGTAGCCAGACCAAGACTAAGATCTTGCTTTTCATTTCAAACTTCCAATATGTGTTGCTAATCCTTGGACAACAATTTTTAATTTCCTTTATATTGTTTCAGAAGAACAAGGCTCACACATCTAAACTAAAATTAAGACTAAAGTAAAGGAATTACCTAGCAGGGAAAAACTGGGAAGACAAGTCTGTTGATAAAACTCTCTTCATAATGCAACTTAGAGGCAAATCTTTTGAATATGGGTCTGATGTCAGATAGTCCAGCATATATTTAGTCATTTCATACCTCCTATGCTATTCTCTCTGTTTCTAATCATGTAATGAAAAGGTTTTCTTCTTTTAAATGAAGTATAGTCAAATTTCTCAAAACTTCCATTAGTAGTATTAGGGAGGAAAAGCAGAGTTCTTTTTTTTTAAATAAACTATAGACCTGTGACTGGTACCATTAAAATCACACACAGCTTTATTTCTCTGGTCCAGGTTTAAGGTCAATGCTGCTAGTCTAATTTTAATGACTAAATCATATTTATTTCCACTCAATAATACACTCAGTTCCAAATGACTTGTAGAACTACAAAATTTGAAATTAACATGCTTTAATCACTTGAATAAGATATAAAGCCCATTAAAGCAATTTATAGCTATTACTACTACAATATTTTTTCACCAGCTCTATCTCCACTTCAACAAATCATGACTTCATAAATTAGAAAACAGGTAAGTGAACCCCAATCTTCATGTACTTAATAATCCATTAAATTATTTTAGATTTTATATTTCACCTCCCTTCCAAACTTTTAAATAAATAATTATTCAAAAATCCAGTACAAAGTGTGTCTGTCTCTAGGAAATGCCCTACAATAATACATTACTTCAACACATAATTAGAGCAATGGTGATGAACGATTTATTAGCATGTCAGTGGATGACCAGAGAAATGATCATCAGTTATAAATATAATACACTGAATTGCTTCAAAATAAAATGGTTAACAAATTCAAGAAAATAGATGATGAGACTGATCATTTAAAGAACTAGAATTAATTTTGAAAAAAAGAATTTAACTGAAACTCTATAGAGAGCAAAAATACAGTACTGAGTTTAAGAACTCAATATATGTATTTATCAGCAGATTGGACATTACTGAGAAAAGTTTCAGTGAACTAAGAAATAATACTAGAATACATCCAAACTAAAGCATGAGAAAAATACAGATGAAAACAGAGTAAATCAAAAAGGGTATGTGATCTATATATGTCATATATGTTACTTCTACATATAAAACTACATGTCACTTTTCCATGTAAAATTATATACATTTCACTTTTATCTAAAAAATTATATATTACGTAAAACTGGAGTCTCAGAAGGAGGAGAAAATTGAACAGAGACATATTTGGACAGAAAAAGGCTAAGATTTTCTTGAAATTAATGAAATACATCAAATATGATAAGCCCCAAGTAGGAAAAATAAATTTTAAAAAATTACAACAAGGCACATGACAGAAAAACTACTAATAACCATAGATAAAGACAATCTCATTGTAGCTATAGAAAAAGGACACATTGTCTTCAATCATGCAACAGTAAGAATGACAACTCACTTTTAAAATGAATGAAAATCAATGAATCACTGCAGTAAAAATCAAATATATAATAACCAAATATTTGTTACAGAAAAATAAATATGCTGACCTGTATCAACACTAACTAAAGATAAAGAAGATATACATTACTCATATTAATAATGATACAGGCAAGATCACTGTAGATTTTAACAACACTAAAACTACTGCCAATCTCATTCAACATTGATGTAAAATATACAACAAAAGTTAGCAAACAAAAATATTATAACAAAGCATTACAAACATAACAACAAAATTAGATTTAATCCAAGAATATAAGGGTGATGTAACATTTTAAAAATCATCAACATAATTTTTCAGATTCTCAAAAAAGAAAAAATTCAGATGCTTCATAGACAATGATTAAACAGATTTTATGTAATTTAACACTCACTTATGAAAAAAACTTAGCAAACTGGAAAACAAGGAATATTACTTGAGTTGAAAGAGTTACATAATTTCAACTAAGTCTTTGTAGCAAAAATACTAAATAGTGAAAGAGTAAAGGCTTTCTCTGAAAATTGGAATGAGGCAAATTTCATATCACTACTTCTAGTTATATTTTGAGTTTCCAGCAAAGTAGAACTGAAAGAAAAAATAAAATGTACAAAAATCAAATAGAGAAAATAGAACTGAAGAAAATCCAGAAGAATATACAGAAAACCTATGAGAGCAGAATTAGGAAGATCCCTAGATTTGAAGTCAGTATATACATTTAAAAAAAGTATTGCTGTAGAAAAACAAATAATTAGAATATTGTGGGGAACTTGGGGTTCCTATGGGCAGGATCCTCACTGAACTTAAACCACCTAATGATGTAACCGGCCTGTTGCTAGGCTACTGCTTCCATGCCTTTAGGCAATAAACTATTATTGCCCTATATAGAGACCTTGGCCCAGTGCTTTGGAAGGGGGCAGAGATGCTAGTGCTTGACCTACTGCAGGGAAAACAAGCCGAGTAATAAACCCTTTCACCCCAAAGATCATTTTGCTGTCATTTTCTTTGGTCACACTGAATCCATAAGGAACTTGTCAAGGCTGAAACCCATTGGCAAGACAATATGAAACTATAAGAGTATTATCATTTGAAATGGCATCGAAAATCATTACATAGTAAGGAATAAAGAGAATGAAAGATGTCAAATAAACAGAAAAGAACAAAGACCAGAAATAAACCTGCGCAGAGACTCATACTAAATTTATGACAAAGGTGGCACACAATGCAAGGGGCTTCCTAATAATGCTAAGTTAATGCAGATTTCCATATGGAAAAAAAATTCTGACCCCAAACTCACAAAATACATAAAAATTAATTAAACCTTTGAATGGTAGTTTAAATATGAAAATAAAACTATCAAGTTTATTGACCATAAACAGGAGTTAATATATACATAAGCTTGAGAAGGGCCAATAATTTTTTAAACAAAGCCTCAAAAAGCACCAATTATAAATGACTAATAAATGAGGAAGAAATTTGAGAAATAGAAAATCTGCTTAAAGGTCACAGCAATAATTTTTGCAGGCAAAATTTGCAGGACAAATTGTTTTGCAATCTTTGTAGTAACAGATGTGAAAATGATGAGTTAAAGCACAGCATGTTTGCTTCACTTTAAAGTATCTCCTCCAAAAGTTATTAAATACAAGTAGAAAAACAGTAACTACAACATTACTGTTTACAGTGAAGAGTGCCAACAGAAACCACCTAACCATTTCTCAAATTTTCCTTTTTTTTTCAGTACTTCTGACACTTTTGAAGACTACTGTGTAAATTACTTTGCATAACGTGCCTCTATTTGAGTTCACTTGATGTATTCGCTTAATTAAACTGTGTTACTCATTTTTCTTAAGACCAAAGAGGGCTATTTCCTACTCAGTGAGTTGTATTAGAGGGTACCCGATGTTAATATGTCTTCTTACCTGTTATGCTAATTTGCATTATTGGATTTAGGTGGTTTCAGCTGGCTCACTTCACTTTCAAAATAAAATTTTCTAAAAATGGTAATTTGGACTTCATTCAAATAAAGATAACATTGAAAGAAATAAAGGTCAAGACAGATTGGAAGAAGGTATGTACCGTATATGTGTCTGGTAAAGGCCTTGTAGGCATGTTATATTAAAAATTGCAACAAATCAATACAAAGATAAATAGAAAATCCAACAGAAAAATAGGCAAAAATCAGATAACATCAAGTCCTGGCAAGGAAATGAAGCAAATGAAATATGCACTGTTGGTAGCAATATAAACTGGTTCAACCACGCTGCAAAATCCTTTGGCAATTTCTAAACCCTAGTGTGCTCTGGCTTTATGGCCAAACAAAACCTCTATTTCTAAACAACCAAAATGCATATTAATAATGAAGTGGAAAAATTATTTATGTGGCCTGTGTTGGTTCACAACCTCAGGAGCTCTCGGGTGAAATGTGGAACCGGATCCCGTACACAGGGCGCAGGAGAGACGGAAGAAAGAGCAGGGCCGCTCCACGCAGGTGGGCCGCAGGTGTCATAAGTGCCGACGCTTACCTCCAAGGCATGTCTTCGCAGCGCGAAGATGAGATTTCCGCACTTGTGTCAGAATCTTAAAAGTTTATACAGAGGCCTTAACGGGGTTCAGTCTCCTTCACAGGCCCCCTGGTCTCACCACCTTGCTCTCTCCAGGTTAGTCCTTGAAATGGCTTCAGTGAAAAAACTTGCAAGGCCGGGTGGAGGCAAGGCACCTCCCACTGGGCGGTGCAGCTCTCAGGTCAGCGGGCAGGCGCGTCCTCTCCACGACCTCCTCCCACCTCACCTGGGTTTGTAGTTTGTATGTGTAGCACTATGCAAACGGCAGGAACAAAATTATTGCAGATAGGCAACAGCATTATGGCTGAATCTCAAACAAAATTGCACTAAAGGATCTAGACACAAAGTCCATTTAAATAAGTAAATACAAAAACAGGCAAATTTTTTCCATGGTGGCAGAAATATGAACAGTGATTAACTGGGACAAAGAAGACGTGGTAACAAGAGAAGGGGGCTTGGTAGTTTTTATGATACTGGGAGCATTCCATTTCACTTCTTTACCTGGGTGGTAGTCTGCATCCTCCCTGAAAATTCAGAAAAACTTATAGGAAAGATATTCACAGAAATTTTATGGAAGTGTCAGTTTTAAATACCATGAATGCCCAACAAGGACATTTTTATTTTTTATGCAAACCTTTAGTGTGTGGACTTTAAAAATCATATTTGCAAAAAACACATGATCTATTAATATAAACATTTAATCACTAGGGAAATGATTATCATATATAATTCAATTGCACACTCCAAGTGGGGAGAAAAAAGACCTGGAAAGACACCTATCAAACTCAATGATTTCTTTACAACAATATACATGTATTACTTATAATTAGTGGAATATTTTAATGGGGGACAAGGCAATTGAGTTTAATTCCTTACTTAACCAGCTAAACTGAATATATGCTGTGGAAGTAAAAGAAAAAAGTGCTCATTCTGTATTTTTTAACTCCTTTTTATACCAGGGCGTGTTTTTCTCTTTCTGTTAGTTTTGTTCTTTTTGGTTTGGAGGCGGTTGTCTTGTTTTGTTTTATTTTATTTTAGTAAGAACAGAGTACATTGCTATTTCTTTCATTGTCTTGTTTCCTAAAGAAAGTAGTAAAAGAACAAGTATATTAAAAGCTCTGCTTTCTAAGGGTTCGGTGCTCTGCTTCATTGAATTGAAGTCTTCAGGAGTTTTACTTACGTATTTATTGATTCATTCATATTTTTGTCTGTCTGCTGCAGATTTACTAGGACTGCTTGCTGATTGGGTTTACATAATAGACAAAAGATTTCTATTTTCCAAAAAGTGAGTTTGGTGACTGGCTATTGCCTTTCCTATGTGAATCCTCACAACTGTCTTATTAAACCAAATTCAGGAGTTGATTGGGATGGAGATCAAGTACTTAAATGATCCCGTAGTTACAAAGTTTTTGGCCGTTGATAGTTTTAATGGATTTTTGGCTCAAAATTATAGTTAACATTACATTTTTGTTCCTTTTCAAGTTTCAAATCAAATCCATTTTGTTTCTGAAGAGTACCAACTGCTGTTACTTTTCTTTAGCAATAACATATTTAATCCCATTTGCCCACATAAATATTTCTAATTTACAGATGGTTTTTATATGCATCCAGATATTCTACTTCTAACCACAGTATTTTGGTGCCTTTCCTCAGTATTGTACTTATCAGACTATTACTGCATTCTATAATTTAGTGACATATAATATTAGGTATTCTCCGAATAGAATAATCCTAATCCATTCCTCTAACAAGAACCTTTATTAGCTCACATACAGGAATTTGCCATATCTTTACTGCTATTTCCCACCTAAGAATAGTATGCAAATATCAATAGAATAAACTTTTGAAAGGAGATGCACATGTATATTACTTGGCAATGCCTTTTTTTTTACTTCTAATTATCAAAAGTAAGAAGTCAGAACATGTTTTTCAATTTAAAATTTTAAAGTAGTGATCATCAATTAATTTTAAAGGGATTGGGTTTAATCCATTATGCACTACTATAGAAAAAAGTTGACTTCTAGTTTAAAGTTTTAGAAAGAAATAGAAATTTTAAAAATGGATTTATGCTTAAAACTTATCAAAACATTCTTTGCTTCAGATTTTTAAATCACCAACATAATATGTCTAAATATACTTTTCTATATTGTGTACATATTACATATATAAAGAAAACAGAAACAAAGAAGAGGATTTATAGGAACCCTCACATAAAAATAAACTTCAGAATCAATTAAAGGCAAATAAGAAGCACTGAACAATGTGTAGCTAAAGAAACTGTGATTTAAAAAAGAAAAGCTTATAGAAAACAAAAAAGATAGCACCAAACAGAAAGAACCTAAATTTGAAGATTTTTCACTTCAAGTGGAATATAGCTGTCTTAATTCTAGGTCACTTAACTACCCACCTTTACTATAGTGGTTTTAGAATATAGTTATCCATGTACATTGAGAAGCACATCAGACAATTTTATGATTATTGTTCTTAACTGTCAAGCATAAATTAAAAACACATGAGAAGTCTTATATTTACCCACGTATTTACCCTTTCTATTACTCATTCTTCATTCTTCATGTTCAAGTTCCACTCTGTTATCATATCCTTCTGAAGAAAGTTTAGCTAATCATATAAAGCAGATCTGCCAATGATAAAATCTTCTCATTTTCCTGTACATGAACATGTCTTTCATTTCACCTTCGTTTCTCAAGAATATTTTGCTAAACATAATATTCTGAGTTGAAAATTCTTTTATTTCAGCACTTGAAAAATGTTATCAATTCATTTTGGACCCCATAGTGCCTGAAGAGAAACCAGTTGTCATTTGAATTGTTTCAGATTTTCTGATAGGTAATGAATCATTTCCCTCTGGCTTCTTTGAAGATTCTTTTCTTTGTATTAGTTGTCAGAAGTTTGATAATGTTGTACTGGACATGAAATTGGTAGGGTTTATCTCTGAGGGTTTGCTCAGACTTTTGCTCTGTGTATTTAGGATTTTTTGATACACTGAATAAGTTTTTGCTTATTTTTAAAAAATACATATTCAGCCCCACCTTTTTCTGCTCCTTTTGGAACTGATGACACAAACGTAAGGGCTTTTGTTATTGTTCCACACATTCCTTCCTAAGTCCTGTGCACATTTTCTGTTTTCTCTCTGTTGTTCAAATAAGTTACTTTGTATTGATCTATCTCAAGTTCACTGATTTCTTCCTCTGGCATCTCTATTCTGCTAGTGAGTCCATTCTGTGAAATTTTTATTTTGCTATTACATTCTTTCAGTTTTAAAATTTGATCTGGTACTTCTTTATATAGCCTATTTCCTTACCAAGATTTTCTTTTTTTTATTTGTTTTAAAAGTGTTTGTAATTTCTTGTTAGATCATTTTTATTATAGCTGCTTTAAAACTTTTGTCTGTTTATTCCAACACATATGTTATCTCAGTGTTCTATCTGTTAATTATCTTTTCTCATTCAACCTGAGATTTTCCTGGTTTTTGGTCTGACAAATAATTTGCACCTCCATTTTAGTGCTTTGACAATTATATTTTGAAACTTTGATTCCTATTTAAATCTTTTACGTTAGAATGGAGTCGACCTATTTAGGATAAAACTGCATTTCCTGAACAGTTTTTGTAGGTTGCAGTTCAACTGTCAATTTATTTGTACAAATTTTCTTAGTACTCATCCAGTCCACCCTGCTTGTATGCTACCCAGAGGACAAGGCTCCACCCACACACAGTGTCTGAAGCAGGGAGTAGGTAATGGGGTAGGGGTAGGGGTGAATCTCTGCTCTTGTTTGTGCAGTGCAGGGTGGTAGTTAGGGATTCACAGTGCAAGCTCCATGGTTACTGTGACATGAGAAGTGGGAGGGGCGCCGTTTCATTATTACATTTCAGAGACAAAAGACAGGGCTCCACTCATAGATTTCCAAGGAAATCTATGACACCTCCCTATTGCAGAGAGAAGATGAAAGACAGAATTCTGTTCACCATGCTTGCAGCCAAAGTGTTTGGTGGGGAGGTGGCTAGATGAGGTCATTATCTTTGAATTATTAACAGGACTCATCATGATCCAGTCCACTGGTGCACTGAAGAATAAGTAGAATGTATCTGTTGGTGCCTGTGTATGTTTGAGAGAGAGGCAAAGAGATATAGGGGAATTCCACATGAACTATATCTGAGTTGAAGAGACCAGCAGATCATGCAAGACACATGTCATGATAACTAGCTTTTATGAGCTAAGACCACTGACCCCAAGCTATGTCTTCTAACCCCAAGACTAAAATATAGATTACTTTCTTTAAAAGAACCAACACTAAATGGCGAGTGACACAATTTTTCTTTTTTTATTTTAACATGTTTTACTCTACAAGAAGTAATGATATAACTGCTTTTTCTCTATCACTCTTGTCCCCTTGCTTACTCATGCAGATACCTTACAGACACCTGAATGGATGCCCTAACAGGCATACATTTATTAGTCATACATGGACTGTTTTGAAGAACATAGATGCCAAGCTAGCATTATCTTCCATTTTATAGGCTGCTCAGTGGGAAATAGACCATCAGTGGGGGAAGGGTGAGAGAAGAGACTTTGGACTGACAGTCTTTGTGGTAAATCCTGAATATGAAGAATCATATTAGTTACCACACAAATACTCAAATTTTTTTAATTACTCCCTCAGTCAAAGAGATATTATATTAAAATAATGAGTCTTCAATTTTCTTTTTATTTAGGTAAAAAAAAAGAGAAAAACAATAATCCTTGTGAAGGCAGTGGAAAGAAAAAGGGCTCTGATGTACCTTAATATTTTAGAATATCTAATTAAGATAAAAACACCAGGAATAAACAGACAGAAAATATGATTTTTAGTCTCTGCTTATTTTAGTTTAAATAAATATACATTATAATTAATTTATTCACAGACTACATTTATTTTTAAAATTCTTGTATCCCTGGCACTGTATAGGACACACAAGTGGTGTAATGGAATACAACAGCATTTACCTAAGGAGTAGAAGCATGACTATTCACTGAAGGTGCCAGCAGAATGATTAACCCCTTGAAACATGCTATCTTCTCTTCTTATCAACTACTCTGGATATGGTGATTATTAGCCTTTCCATAAGGACCTCCATTAAATTTTTAAATATCTGAAGATTATAAATAGCACTGCAACAATAGTTATTATAATTATGTCCTAGATTATATTGATATGTACTATAATAAAGCTATTATTTATTATAACAAAATGTTTATATGATAAAATACAATAATATAAAATAAAATATTATAAAAGGTTATTATAAACCTATTATAACCTATTATAAGCCTATAACCTAATAAACCCATTATAATAAAATACTTGAACTGGATTATAATGAAATAAATGTATATTGTATGTTTATTAGGAGCATTAAAATATTATTGTTATTTCAATTTTGTGGACTTAAAACTAAAGGATATGAGTTAAAATACTCAAGCCTCTTCCTAATCTGGAAAAAATAACTGGCATATCTCTTCTAGAGTTTTATCTTATTAACTAGCCTGAGCACCTACTCAATTGCCAAGGCAGAAGCCTGGGAAAAATTCTTGTTCTTTAAATGTGTTGGTTTTGAAATTTGTGCTTCTCCATGGAAGATAATTAGTTAGATATCTGCTTACCTTCTACCTTCAGAGCCAGGAAAATGCAATGGTTAAGAGCACAGGCTGTAAGCCCCACCACCCGATGCCATAGCCCACGTTCTCTGCTTCCAGCTGTCTCACCTTAGACCAGTCACATCATCTCTCTGGAATTCACCTTCACCATCCATAAGTAGCAGATGAAAGTAGCTGTGTCTACCTCACTGAGGATTAAATTACTTAAGACATAGAAATTGCCTTGTATATGGTACCCAACAGCTACTAGTATCTGCCCTCTTGTGCTTCTATTTTCTTTATTTCCATACTTCTACTAATTTCACCCTATTTTCTATTGATAAGTAGTTATTCAATGCTTAACCTTCTTTGTAAGATAATGGCATATTGTATTTTCAGCAATAGTTGGTTTCTTCCATCATACTCAGACATATGTGCTGTGTGCCATTTTGAACTGAACATTCCTTCTAAAGAGTTTTATAATTTCTTGGATTTCTCCTTTCATATGTTCAAATTACTTTGTGTATCACTCTTTTTCCTTAAATTTGCCACTCTAAGATGTCAGGAACTATGTTTGTCCTCTTCTCCTGCCCCAATATCTAAAAAAGAACCTGCTACTGAGGAGGCACTCTGTGAAAGAGTGAGCTAAATGAATACATGAATTAACATATTGAAAAAGAAAGGTTTGTGAAGATAAATATACAGACCTTATCCTCAACCAGCAAAACAGTCTCTCAGGGATTGACAGTACACCACAGTCATCCTGTGTGGCTGGTAAACACCTGTAAATGGAAAAACGAAAAGAGACAAACATTTAGGAATGCCAGGGTAGTTCATTTACATCCATCACTTTAATCTCAACCAACTGACTTATAAGTTCCTTTATCTTACTTTTCTCATATCAGGCCTTTAAGGCTCAAAAGGGGTTGTGATGCACAGGTGACAGTGACACACAGGGATGGGTTGGAGCCCATATGCCAATCAGCCCTTGTATAACCAGCTCATGCTGCCACCCACCACGCTGCAGGGCTAACCAGAAAGTGAGACATCATATGCACCAGGTTAGGACTGTATATTCAGCTTTCTCCAGTGGGTCCTCTGTTGGAAATGGTGCAAAAATTAGGCAAATTGTCAATAATCAAGACACAGACATTTGAAACCCATTTCTATGGGATATATTGTTTCATTTTCTGGATTGGTTGAGACAGACCGTAAATTGGCTTCCTGATTGCAGGTTGCTGTGAGTTGTGAGGCAGACTTCTGTTCCCACATGTTATCTGGCCATTCCTCATCGTGTATCCAGCCTCTCATTATGCATATCAGGAAAAGCAGATGATGGGTAAGAGTGATCAGAACATAGCACTAGACTTTTTAACTAATACAAAAAATGGAGTGAAGGATGCTAACCATCCCTGGGACCACCTAACATGGTATATTGGTATGACAATCAAAGAGTTTGGCAAAGGTTTGGCTCTATATTGTAAACTAAATTGATGAATGTCCCAAAAGATTAACCAAAAGGTGACTCACATTACTGAAAATCACAGAACTTAGAAAAGTGGACTATCATGAGGAAAGCAGGTCCAATACCTCTATTAAACAAGAAAAACTGTAGCCTTGATGAATTGCCACCCACATATTGGGGTTTTGGTAAGTAGAGTATGAAAAATCTGTTATCATAATAAGTAGGTTCAGAAGAATAAGAAGGTGGCTATAACCCAGTGATGGTAGGTGAAATGAGGTGGGACAATTAGGGGCAGCAAAGGGGATCAGCAATTAGAGATGAATATAGCAATCCAGGGTGTCCGTGCTGTGCATGACAGGAGGTGACTTCTGATCAGTGACAGAGAGAGTAGTTTGCATTAATCCCAATGAATGAGAGGCAGCAACTGCTGGAATACTTGGCCTGCCAACTGGAAGAGCCCAGCCTACAGGCTGAAAAATCAGTGCTTAGCTTTGGCAGCTCTGACATGGAGGAGATAGGGTAATAATTCTGTGCTTGAAGATCCAATCTAATAACTTCAGGAGCACCAGTTGCCAATAATGATGTTTCCTCCTGTGGCCATAGCCCCATTTTGACATATCACAGTGGCGGCAGTTTCCCTGCCTGAAATGGTAGCATCTCCTTGGCTCTATGCTTGTGCAGAGATCTCAGAGGATTTCAGGATTTCCACAGTTTCTGTCAACTCCTGTAGTAACATCAACTCCCATGTCATCTTAGTGTCACTTTCTCAAAATTGGCCCATCAAGACAAGTCTGGTTGTCAGAAGGCTTCTTCAAGACCTATTAGGACATGTATTCAGAGTCCCCTGGACATGCAGTGTGCAATCAACCTTGGTCCTGTGGCCAGGATTTCTGGACTCCAATGTAGGCTAGTGTTTATGAGTCTATGAGGAAAATGAGTAAGAATATGTTAAATTATCATTAACCATATAATCTAGAGAGATTGAGGTAGTCATAGTTGTCAGAAATAGTGATAGTTTTGGGTACTGAATATTTAAAAATGTTAGAACTCAATTTGATGCTTCTAATATTTGAAGAATAACTATGTGAGAAGCACAAAGCTAGCCATTGAAGACACAATGTTGAAAAAAGAAATACAACTTATTCTTCCCTCCTAGAACTAAAATACCGTACAGTGTGCCATTATATTTCTTAATATAAGAACAATTCAGATTATATAAGAACTAAAAAGTAAAAAATAAGTTTAAAAGCATGAAAACATAGTACAGCTATACAAAATGTACATACTTTCATTTAATTCTATAAACTTTTTCGAAAAAGTCACCTATAATAGAGTATTATTTGTGTGTGTGTGTACTCAATATTATGGACAATTTAAAATATCTATATAAAATGGACATACATAATTTTAAATGCTTCCATTATTACAAAGAATATAAATTCTATAAACATTAAAATTAACAGGCTGGAAAATTATAAGCAAATTGAGTTTAGGTAAGGAAGAAAAAATTTATAAACAGAAAAGCAGAAGTTAATTTTAAAACAAAAATAAAAGCATAAAAAAACAAAGACTGAGCATTATAACAAAAGACTAAACAAACAGAATCTAAAATAATATAGCCAAATGTATTTGACAATGACATTGAGGGGAATACTATGAATAAACCAGAGAAATCGAAAAGTTTGAGAGAAACACTTTAATGGATTTATGCTGTTATGCTTAAAACTTAATGAAATGTATATCCAAAATTAATCCAAAATTTATTTTAAAAGCTCTACAGAACAAGTTTCCCTAGGAATAAACTTTTAACTTGTTTTAAAGCAACCTTAAGTGTAGTGAGTCCACTCAGAAGATTTTATGAGTAAGTATTAAGATAATATCAAGAAACAGATACTATCTCTGGTTCTTAGTGTGTATTACTGCAGAGAGCAAAAAAGAAATGTCTCCATTTATTTTATAAGCTAGATTAACTTTGATATCAAAACCTAGCAAATACAGCATTTTTTTGAGATCACGACCTGAAAAAGTTGAATTGCTTCCTTCCCATGGCCATTTCTACATTTCTGTTATCTCAAAACTACAACCAGTCTCCCCTACTCGTTAATTCTTCAGGTCTTTGTATTGCTACATAAGATCTGGCAACACTTCAAATGTCTAAGACGGGTTGTTTATTTTTTCAAATATACTTCTGGTCAAATATGTGACATCTCTCTTATTCATTACCCTTTTTATGGAGAAAACAAATTGTACAACCTGACTTGACCACCAACTAGCCATTTGCCTTTGAGCCAATTATTATTTTTCTGCCTCCTGGTAAATAAGAAGCTATAATACACCTTCTCTATGATTCCTATTCCACGACTCAAAGAGCAGCCACAGTTACTAGTATGTCCATTATTTATACCACTGAAAGCTGTGGGCCTTATCTAACAGAATGGACAAGAAGAAATCAAAGAATACTTTAAAAATCAGAAAATCAAAGAATGGCAACCCTCAAATAATTCTCTGAGACTAAGGAATTTAGCAGTGTGCAAAAGGCACAACAGTATTATGCTGAAGCATAATACTCACTGAAACAGTTATGCTGAAGAATAGTAAATACACTGAAACATAGGTAAACAAGTTTGTTACATGTCTCATTCCTCCTTTCCTCTTAAATTCTAACTAGAAACTAATACTTCATAACTATGGTGAATATAAACATTGCCTATAACTGAGATTGGCTGTGTGCAGGGGAACAGCAGACAAAATTATTTCCAGGCAGTTACTGTCACGGCAGAATCTTAAGGCAGCATTCCCATAAACTCCGTAACTCTAAGTGAGGGTTTTGTGCATAATGTGGAACTTGAGGAAAATAAGAAAAACATCTTTCCCTTAAGCCTAGAAGTGATATTTTCTATGAATGCTTGATTTCCAAAGGGATCCTGAGCGCAGAATGGTCCATTTTATGGTGGTGTCTTCTGTTCGCATAGGCCCACTCTAAATTAACACGTATCAACTGAATAAGAGCAGTATACAGCAATTGTTTCCATATCTTTCCCCTGAGACTAGCACAGAAAATCAAATAAATTGTCTAGCAATCAATGAATCATAACTCGGTCTTAAATTTCTAAATTGCTTTTGGGAAATGATAAACTTTGTCTCTGAGTTTTTAATGATATGAAATTCTTCCTTAATGATGAATTCATAGATCAAATATTTTGAATTTTTTTGAAGATTTTCTAAGCTGTTGTTAATAATTTTTTAGTATTAAAATTTTTGAATGACTCAACATTGAAATCTAAATTAATTTGGCCCAGGAACTGAACAACTGATTGATGAAAGTATAGCATTATTTCCTATTGTCTTAAATTTACTGAAAAAGTTATGATTTGTTTAGGTCATTCATCATAATTAGTAGAGTGCCAATAATATAAAGCACACTAAGTTTGTATTCAGGCACATAGATGTTGTACACACATATATACAAATGAATAAAACAGGTCTAGACATTAAATATATGTGCTTGCATATAGAATGAAAAAGAATAATACCTGTTATTAAATGCTGGGTAATTGGATCAAAACCAAAAAATTAAGTGACATTTATTTTTTTCTTTTTTCAACAAAATATTTCTAAAATGCTTTATAGAATAGTCCAGGATTTATAATTACATAAAATGATATATAATAATATATCTTAATATTGTTTTGAAAATACAAAAAATTTGTATAATACAAGAGTGGAATAAATGGTAATTATTAAATCAATATAAAATATGAAAATAGTTATTAAAAATTAAGTGAAATTATATTATACAGGAAGGTATGGTACTAATATTGTTTCTACTAGAAAGGGGCTCTTTGGCTGTTCTGCATTCTAAGGTCTGACCTTAGATTTAGCATAGGCCTTAGAGCTTCCTTAGAGGATGTTATGGGAGCAAAGAATGATGTATTTGGTGCTTAGAATATGAAAAAAGATTAGCTGCCACTGTGGAGAGGGGAACCAAGGTAACGGGTTCAACAGAGGGTCCTTCTGCAATGCAAACACTCTGGGGAAGGAGGACAGTGGAGAATGGGAAGAACCGGTGTGGTCAGTGTGGTACAGTTCAGCCCTGGGTAACTCGGTTAGAGAGAGCTGGGGAGGCACAGGAAGAGGTGTGCTATCCAGGATCAGTACAAGGATGTCCAGGGCGTTTCTGATTAATAAGCAGATCTCCTGTCAGAACAAGGTACTCTCTCTGTGTTCTGGGATTACCCAAGATAGGGAGAAGGCCCAGACGGACTGAGACTGAACTATTTCCCGGACCAGGCATGTATGGTTTGAGACAGATTTAATTTAATGGAGACAAATTCAATGCAAACAACCCAGTGGTGAATTTCATGTCTGTTACACTAGGTGGATGGAATTTTGTCAGAATGTTTTCCTTTATTCATCAAGCTTTTGTACATGTGATTTAAACTACTGGTACCATAATTGCTCTCATTTACCAAGTACCTGCTTTGTGTCTGATGATATACACCTACCTGCCACTCTCATCCTTCCTGCACATCTTTACTGAGGTTCAGAGAGTGTTCCGGTTATCTATTGTCACATAACAAATTTAGTGGCTTAAAAAAAACAGTACTCACTGTATTGTCTCATTTGCACTCTGTGATTCCAGAATTCAGAGAGAGCACAGCTGGGTGGTTACAGCTCAGGTCTGCATTCGTTGTCGCTAAAGGGTAGCTAGAGCTGGAACTAGAAAATAGTAGCAGTGCAGAGGGCGGCCGGCCCCACTGTCTCCTCACGCAGTTGGTCTTAGAGTGTACCTACGATTCTCTTAATGTCGGCTAATTTAGCCTTCCTGACAAGTCAGCAGACAATATAGCAAATTTATGGGGGCTGCTAAAACCTTCAAGGGTGAATATTCAACCAAACAGCAAACAAACTTCCCTGCCTCTCTCTGTTGCTCCACACCATCACAAAAGCTGGCCCATTTTCAAGGGGAGGACATACAAATCCCTCTTCTTGATTTGAGGAATGCAAAATAATCTGTGGGATGTTTTTAAAGTGCCACAGAGAGTACCCGGAGAGCAGGTAGTGGACTCCAGGTCTTTAAGAATCCAGGGTTCTTCCAAGCCAAGCATTTCTCCATTTTGATGTGATCAAGTGGGATTAAGAAATAAAGTGAAAATGCTAGATAAAACCATCATTTCTTAGTAATAAGTCCAGTTGGAGCATGTCCCCTAGTAAATTTGAAAAAAAAAATTGCCAGCAATAGTGGCAGCTGCAGAAGTAACCCAGCATTGCATAATTAAGTTTTGTCTTTGTTATCCCAAATAATATATTACAAACTCAATACATATGCTTTGAATCACAGGGTAATTTATTAAAACTTTTAACAGAAAAGGTCTCAAAATACATGGTTCTTCTCTTCTTGCCATTGTCTAGTCCCTATTCTTCCCAGTTGTGCGTTTGATTTCCTGTTTCTTTTCAATCCCTAAAAGACGCAGCATTCAAATCATTCTTTTGTATTCTCTGCCTTTGTGATTAATGGCAGTTTAAGTTGGTACACAGCCACAATAAGTAATAGAATTTAATTTCACTATAAATTTTTAAATTGCAAAGGGGAAACAACAGAAGGCCCCCTTTGTGGGAGAGCAATGTCAAGCAAATGAATGATTTCTCCACAGCAGAAAAGTAACTCAGCAATGACCATTTGTCATTTCTTGTCAGAGGCGAGCAGGTGAGGCATTCAGGAGTAATTTACAAACTTGTGGGTTCCTGCCCATTGTGCACCGACTGCTCCCTCAGTCTCTGTCTGAAGAACAGAACAACAGCTTCAGCCTGGCCGCTGTTACTCCCTTTCATAACTACTAAGCATATAATTACCTGCATTGAAACTTTCTCTTGAGACTCTTAGTTTTTCTTATAGAAAAAGCATATGCCAGACTTTCTGTTTGTTTTTGTGCTTATAAACTTTTTGGTTCCTTAGTTGTGACCTGTTATGCCTCATTATATTTTAACCCTTAATTGTTTGTTCTTGAGAACTGGGTCACTAGATTGAGAAATGTCATTTACTTCATGGAAAACAAAGAAATTTCACTCACCTCATGAAAATATAGTTAAGACTACATGGACTCTGAGGAAAATATAAAGCCATGTTATAAAAGAATGCAAAATGTTTTTTCTTATTATGATGGAAAGTATGCAAAAATATGTGTAAGCTTGAGTGAACAGTAAACATGATACGCAAATTTGAAAGCAGTTTTTAGGAACGTATCTATTAAACTGATGGACATCAGTAGCCCTACTCACATATCACAGATAAGGACATGATTGTACAGACCATGGATAGGTTTATCCGTAATATCACAGCTCAATATTAGGCATGAAGACAAGCCACAATGAATATTTAATTTTACTAGTGGCTGATTGAGTCACAGGGCCATGACCCCATTTTTAAAAATGGAAGAGTGAATATCGGAAATCTAATTTATGATTAATGTTGACGTTTTTCTTGTGGTATTGGATACGGTCATGGAGGAGGGCATATCTGCACATATCAGTTCACTTCTCCACCCCATGTGATGCAATGGGAGTGGAAAGAAGGCAAAGCGAGTAACTGCACACATCAGCGTAAATAGGAAAGATGGAGCAGTATGGCCACCAGAGACAGGCAAGAGAGGTAATTTAAAATACACAGATTTATGAACAACTGTGCCTTACTTTTAAACAAACAAAGAGCCCTGGAATGAGACCACTAGTGGGAATTATGAGTAATGGTGCCCTTCCCCACTCAGCAATAACAATTTGAGAAAGAGAAAGGACTACAGCTTTACTACATAAAGTCTTTTCAGAAACACTTGTGACTCTCCCACAGACACGTAACTAACTAGTCAAGGATAGAACTGGAGAACAGCTGGGATACAGGACCTCTGGTCCCTTACTCATTTTGTTTTATCATTTTTGCTTCTACACTGGAGCCATCCCAACACCACATCTACTGGAAACAAGACATGACAAAAAGTGTAGATGATTCCTGAGCACAAATGATTCTGTCCATGTACACATACACACGGATGCACAGAGAGAGACAGATTCAGTTTTGTATTAAATCCTTCAATTTTTCCATTTGAGTTGTACATTCCACAGTAAATGTATTTTGCATTTTCCAAACAGAAATAGGGTGGCTAGACTTACATATCCCTTAATGAAACAATCTTTCTAGGCAGGGGCTCAGTTACGTTTGTTTTCATTTCTTTGGATCAACAGGATCTAGAATATATCCTGGCATACAGTAGCTGCCCAAGACAATAACTAAAATAACAACACACTTCCTAGTATCTACACTTATGCACCAAATTCCACTCAGAATGATTTACAAAACAACTTTGCACTGTAGGCAGAAGCTTCAATGTGTGTCTGGACAAATTTTAGTGTCAGGTAGCACGTGGCATCCCTCTGCCTCTCTCCTTCTTGTTGCATCCAATACATTGTAAGGGCTTAGCCACTCTTACAATAGACTCAGGCCTTGTCCAGCCAAATTATATAAGGAAGCATGGCCTGCTAACTATCTATTGCTACAAAACAAGTATTATCTGAGAATTAATGAACACAATTTAAAACAATGAATGTTTATTTTCTCACACATTTTCTGAGTCAAGAATCCAAGAGAGGCCTAGCTAGGTGATTCAAACTCAGAACCGTCTGTGGTTGGTCAAGGTGCTGTCACTGGTGGTCTGACAAGTGCTAAGGGATTTGCTTCCAGGATGGTAGCCTGCAAGGCTGTCAGCTTGGGCCTCACCTTTTTACTCAGTACCTGGCCCTAGGGCTCTTGCTCAGTGTGCCTCTGCACAAGGCTGCTTGAGCATGCTCATTGTAGGCCTGCTGTCAGGTAATCCAAGAGAGACAGAGGGAGGGCAAAGACACCACCACTCTTCTATGACTTAATTTTGGACATCACCCATGCTCTCTTCTGCCACATGGTATTTGTTAAGAGAAGTCCTTAAATACAGCCTACATTTAGATGGAGGGGAATTATGCTCCCCTTTTTGAAGACAGTATCATGGAATCTGCAAATGGAATGTTAAATAACAATAGGATCGCACATCTTTCCAAGTTGTTTATCAGATGGGATTATGTGTGCCTCTTTAAATATACACATATTACATTGAGGACATTTTTTTTATTTCTTTTCTTGAGAGGGCATCTCTCATATTTATTGATCAAATGGTTGTTAACAACAATACAATTCTGTATAGGGGAGTCAATTCTAAATGCACAATCATTAATCCAACTCAAGCCTAATTCTCGTCAGTCTCCAATCTTCTGAAGCATAATGAACAAGTTCTTACATGGTGAATGAATTCTTACATAGTGAATAAGTTCTTACATGGTGAACAGTACAAGGGCATTCATCACAGAAACTTTCGGTTTTGATCACGCATTATGAATTATAAACAATCAGGTCAAATATGAATATTCGTTTGATTTTTATACTTGATTTATATGTGGATCCCAC